ACACAATTCTTGGGCCCCCTATTAAGTCAAAGTCTGGGACAAGATATCCCATTCTCCCTACGCACCCACCATCTCAGCAACTCTGAATGTTGATAGTAGTGATTGTGATCTAGATCATTAACGTAGTGGTAATGGTAGTGTGGATGAAGAGACAGTTGGTGATATTGATGTTTGTAGTAGTTGAGATGGTAGTAATTCTGATAGGAATGTTTTAGTGCTTATCGTTCTGAAGTTCTTGAATAATGAATTAATGTTGATGATGGCGTGTTGTCTCAGTTCTGGTGGTGGTGGTGATGATTTTGACAGTGGTTGTGGAGGTGAAAAGAGTACTGCTTGGTAAGAGGTTACCGTAACATTTACGAAAGCAGTAATATTGTTAGAATAGGTAGTTGTGGTGGAATTGTCTATGCTGTTGGGGATGATGGCAACGGTCGGGGCGGCACTGCTGCTGCGGAGACGGCAAAGGCGGAGGCTCCAATTGCCCGGCACGCGGCTGTACGACGGTGGCAGGCCGGCGCGGCGGACGAAGAGAAAGAGAGACGGGGAAAGGGAAGGAGGGAGACCGGGATGGGGGGGGGCGCGGGGCTGCTCTCCGCGAGATAGATCGATTGCTCGCAGTAAAACCGGCAGTCGAGATAACGCGTGATGAATGGCTGCGCAGCGTCACTCGGCTCTCGAGGGTGGCCGGGCGCGCAGGGAGAGCTCCGTTGCCGCCGCCGACGCGCCGCGAAGCCAGAGCAGAGCAGAGCAGAGCAAGCCTTGCGATGGAGAGGGGCGCAGCAAAGGGAAAGAGGAGCGTTGGAAGAGGCGACGTTCAACCCCCGGCCTCCCCGCCGCCCCCTCCCCCCCCCGACCTCAAACTCCCACCCACTCCGAACTGGGGAGAATGGCGCCCCACCGAGAGGATGTCTTCGAGAGCGCAAATCTCGCGACCTCTAGTGATTAGGCGCATGCCAGACAACGAGAACATACCATAATTTTCATCGTGACAACTTGTTAGATTAACGTGCCGATCAGAAGATTTAATGGTTTTTCATGAGCTGACAAGAGTGAGAATTAGGGGGTAATACATCTGTGGAATCACTAACCACTCAGACTTTTGCGTTAAAGAAACATCCGCAGAAGTTGGCAGCCAGTAGGTCTAGCGTACGAGTCCGCAAACAAATATTGAAAAAAAAAGAGTAGATATCAAAATTAATTTGAAAATTTAGTTATTAGAGGTGTTGTCCTACATTGGTAGAGAAACCATAATTCCATTAAGGAAAGCGACATTTCACTGAAAAAGAGGTCACTTCATGTAAAATGTTTTCAAATAATAATTTATTTTTCTCATAGAAAAAATACTTACAAAGGTCAAAATAAACACTTCAGTAATTATCACCATTATCACATCACACAATACTATTAGGTCTACTTTATTATCATTACTGCCTTTTCCACTTTTATACTAGATGTATTTGGAGGGTGATGAAATCTCAACAGTTTTAATTTCCCAATAAGTATTCATGGGATCTCATACAGGTTGCTTAAAGATGTAATGAACACACACCATACCTTTAACGTTTTCATTGTTAAACATATTCGTCTTTAAAACACTGCATTTATAATAGAAAGGGTGCGTTCTGTGTTAGCACTGTGACTAGGGATTTCAAAATAAAATTTGCCAATTGTTAGGTTTCAGAATGGAACACAAGACTTGGAAACTGAATGAAGTATTCACATCACACTTCACTAGCTGTTTGATTTTGTTTCCTTTCATAGATGTTGTACCAGCCGATGACAGTCGTTTTTTAACTTACCCGTATACGTACGTATATAAAGGAGTAATATACGTAGTGTATGGAAAGTTACGTTAGGCTGCGGAAAATCGATTTCTAAATTTCAATGAAAATAGGTGTTTTGGGGCCCCCTGATACAGAAAAAGTTTGTTTGTTGGTTTGTTTTTTTTGTTTTGTTTTTATTTCAAAACGTCCGTTCTGTCCGTCCGACCGTCTGTGAACACCACTAGGGCCTAAACCATACGTATTTTTTTTCAAATTGAAGAAACCCTTGTCCACCTGGCTCGAGTAGAAGCTTTGAAATTTTGAAAAACATTCTCTAAAAATTGGAGGTACTTTATATGAAGCCCCCAGATATTTTCAAAATTTTCTCACAAGCGGCTACAATTTTTTTCTTTAATCTTCTTGTAATTATAAAATAGTATACACTTATAAATGTGGCATAGGTCAGATTTTCACGGTTAACTCTAAACTTACGAAAATTGCAAATGTTTGAATTTTTTCATCGTCTTCCTACAATTAAAAAATTGAAGAATTTGGAGATATTTCCTTCAAATAAACATTGTTGTCCATAATTAGTTCTTTTATTAAGATAATGTTTTGTTTTATTTTTTTAAATTTAGTAGTTTCGCGCAATATTGCGAGCAATATGTGCAATTATAAAAATAACGGACAAGATTTTCACAAAATCGGCTCCATTTTTTTTCTTTAAACCTTTGGTAGGGATAGTGCTGTACTATATAAGATAACATCAACGCCATATTGCTCTATTCGTTTTTTTTTTCTTTCAAATATTACAAAATTGCATTTTTTTACTTGTCTCTCACATTGTTAAAATTTACATTATAGATGTATTTTATTGTTCAATGTGTTTCTTAACGCATAAGCTTTAAAGTATATCTAATTATGGTTTTTGAAATGTCCACACAAAATCAAAATAATGCTGAAAAATGTAGGTGGTTTTCAATCTCACAGAATAAAATGTATTGCAGAAAACCGAAAAGTAAACCATTGCGCCAATTGAAAAGTTTTCTAAATATTTGGCTTTACAACATTTGCTCAAATTACTGTAAATATTACCACAAATGTAATTTTTTGTATTTATTAGCTTAGGGAATTCGCCAGTGGTTTGGTGTTGAAATTTGTTACCGTGACGAGAATGTAGTAATTAAAAAATGTGTTTCTTTTGAACCAGTGGAAAATGTGAAACCCACAGTCATTTATCAGTAGAATATTGAAATAATATTACGGATAAGTCTGTGTGTGTGTCATTTATAACAACTTATTTGTGTTGTGGTTTAAGTGTCATCGTAGTGTATAACTTACGTAGTGGTTTTATTTCGTATGCATCCGTTGAAATCATTTTATTACTGAAATCATTCGCACGCTCCTCCTGGTTGGGAAAATTGTGCCGATTACTCCTATGTGTCAAATGTCTATTTAAATTGCCTACAGTGAAACCGCTAAAAGGTATGTAAGTAGTTGAGAAATGTATGTGAAATGTCACAGTGAATGATGAAGCTACATTTTGCGTTCATCATTTTTTAATCGTTTGTAGTTAAAATATCGCGATTAATGAAGGTATAACTTTCCTTGGTTCAAAGTACTTGATGTAATACTTGAAGTAAAGGCGAATATAAATGTCAAAACTGGTTCCACACGTTTCTTTTTTTCCTCGCAAAGGTCACAAAAAACTGTCCACATTTCATTTCCGTTAAACTTAAAATTTTCGAAAATTACATGCAATAAATTAAGCACAAAATAGTTATTTTGCATCACCACAAGTTCGATTCTGCAACTAGAGAACCGAAAAATTAATAAATTATGACAAATATTTTTTACGCCGATAAGTAGCCGGAAGGAGAGATGGGGGCAAACCCGAAAACCCCGACGAAATAGATTAGGAAACAAAATAGTACGAGAAAGTCTGTGCCGTTCTGTAGCACTACTAGTTATTATCTCGCACCTACTAACGTAAGAAGAGAAAATATTGTGTTCGTGCCTCAGAAAATGGGGAATTTTCGACCCAAAAACTCTTATTGGCGGGTCCAGGTAACGAAAATGTGAATAACTGCAGTTGCTAAATATAGAAGAAAAAAATAATTGAACACGTGGCGTAGTCAGAATCCATGCTCTGTGCGTCCTTCATACCGGAAAAACGATTAACGGCGAAATGTCTGTCAGTCTGAACAACCGTTCAGTTCATTTTCTCCAAAATTGATCTTCCCCAATCGTTTTGACTGATGTCGCGTCCTCTGGAATTTGAAACCGATGTTTTCATTTTCGGCGATACTTTACATGAAGCCCCTCGCACTATTTCAAAGTTTTCAAAAAATGACTTCAATTTTTTTAATTAAATTTTGTTGTTTAATAGAGCGTAAGACGATTAAGAGAATGGTCCAGGCATCATTTTCGTTGAAATCCCCGATTTTTCGAAAATTACAACAAAAAAATATAAAGCTACAAAATTGAATATGGAGATTTTTGCCTCAAAGTCTATTGTACTAAATTGGCTCTTTAAAAAGGGTCATGTACAATTATATGTAAAAACGAATAGTTTTTGCGTAATTTCTGCTTGAAGTTAATGAAATACTATATACAGATTCCACATCAACTACGGGCCACAAAAAAAATTCCACGAATGATATGAAAAATAATTTAATTTTAATTATAATTTACTATTGAAATGCCAATTTTTATTCTATTTTTACTTTCTTGCACGTTTACTTTTTACCCAATTAGTATTCTTAATAAATTCATGTATTTCTTTTTAAACAATCCACAAAGCTTAATTGAATTTTCCGCAACAATGACACTCTGATATTTGAGAAGCTATTTGTTGTTGAATGTCAAGATGGTGACGGTGATAAGATGCAGCTCTGTCAAGCTGGTGGTGGAGTAACTCCTAGGGCGAGAGCCAGAACTTCCGTTTCTGATGAATTTCGCAGCGGTTTTTTGAACATTACTCTTCAGAATGCCCGGTGAGGTAGGTTATATACCGTGTAGTGTCATCTGTTCCCTAAAACAATTTTCTGCCTATTGAATAAAAGAAAAAGGTACATTAACCGTATAACCAGTAACTTCAAGAAAACTATGCCCGCGAAGATTTTTCCATACGAGCATGTACTAATTTAAACTGATTCAAAAATGAGACCTTTGTCATTCTCTTAAACGTCGTTCGCACTATTCAACAATATTAATACTAAAAATCGTAGAATATTAGTAATTTAATTATTTTATTAGTATTAGGGTTTTTTATCAACTATGTATGATGTACAATGACCAACCGATAAACAAACTGAAATCTGAATACAGATGGAAATAAGCGTTTTTGCAAAGAATTGATATTATTCGCCAAGCGAATGCACGTAGTTTTGACATCGCTGCGCTGGCAAGAAGGCGTTGCTTGCTTCTTGGATCAACTGGAAGTTTTCAAGGAATAGCTGAGGTTTTAGTAGCGCTGAAAATGGAATATTTTCAATTTTACGTAGCTGTTTCCAATAGCGTGAGAAAGAATGTGCTGTTGCAGCACAACGAGTTGGGAATTTATCCGCAGTTTCTTTGGAAGTGCCCGCACAGATCTTCCCATCCTCACTTCTTCAATGATCTACTCATTAACTGCTTGTTCTTGACCGGCCGAGTTCAGCTCTCAGCCAGTCAGTGGCGAGGGGTCAGTCTTCCACAGACGATGACCTAGCAAAATAATAAACAGATTTAAATATTTTAGACAAGAATTGAATAATTAATCAAAAACATATATGTTATGTTATTTAAATAATATTCACGAAACTGATACAAATTAGAAATAAACATTAAAAAAGAAGATAGTTAATAAATAACGAATTAAGAGTGCGCTCTGTGGCTCAATCTGTCGCAGCTCTTCGTATTCTTTTACCCGACGATAAGTGAAGGACTTGGATAAGAGCTCCTATACTCCAAATGAAATACTAGAATTACTTCTGACATGAGCTGTGACGCCGTTATCCAATCGGGAGCTTCAATACCAAAAATGTAAGTCGTAACGAAGCAGTCGTGTGGATAATCACGTCCAGCTAACGTCAGAAGTCACTCTATTTTTAAGCGAAGTATAGTCAGTGATGCGATTGAAGGATCTCCTCTGTTCGGTGTTGTCCGGCCCAGCCTGGCGAAACGCACCTATCCAACTCCCGTCAGTGTGAACTTGTAAAACGGTGCGGTGGTTTTGTGTGCGCCATAATTCTTGAGCACTTTCGCTAAGTTTAATTGTGTTACCACAGTTCTATTTATTTCCATGCCAGTTGTTGATAACTAAAGTTACTAAAAGAAACAAAATTTTCACCAGGCACTTCATGGTGACTGAGGAAGTGGGAAGGAACGGTGGAAGTTGACGTCAAAGCTCTTTTCAAAATAAAAGGCAAGACCAGCGAAAGACGCGACCATTTTTGAGTCTCTGGTGGAGGCGCACGGCCACCTGCCGGGTTAAGTAACATTCACTACTCTGATGGAGTTTAAGACTAGCAGTCGACCTGCCCGGAAACATCAATCAACCACTCTACTCGTTCTTGCTGAATTTCTTTCAATGCCTGGTCCATTTTAGGATCATGTTTACCAAGAAGCAACAAGAATCTGTCACGCCATTCTTCGCTGATATAATCTGTGCGAGACTTGGTACGTCAAAGCATCTAGTATTATTCTACAGTGGAATAAAGATTTTCCTCTTCTTCTTCCTCCAGTCTTCCTGTTTGTATATTTTAAATCGTAATCGGCGTCGTAGGTAGGGGCTGGCCAGGCGGCGGGTGCCAGGGGCGCAAACCTTAGGGGAGCGCACTTTACAGACCCACAGGCTGCGGGCCGCTCGGACACTAATATTTAACTAATATTATAAAATCTAACATTGAAACTATTAATATTTATAATTTCTAAGATTTAACTTAAACTATGACAAAAAGTCGGTAATAACGAAAATTTCAAGAAAATGTCCATTTACATCCGTAAGATATTGCCACAATTGTGGCTGTTATTACCGTTGCAATGTCAACAGTGCGGTCGAGCGAGTTGACAGGCGGAATAAAATCCACATCGAATACTACCTTCCATTTCTATATCTCAAAAATCATTTTAGGTACATTTCTGATAACATTTATATACTCATCATAACACAAATTTAAAACTGCACGCTAGCAATTTCGGCACGTTGCCGCTAGAGCAGCATTATCGTCGCATGAAAAGGAACAGGGTCGGCGTATTCCTAATTTGTGTGATGCGACATGCGAAAACTTCAGTTAATTTCTTTTAGGAAAAACGTACGAATAAAAAATGTGGTGTATAAAGTATGATCTAAATAAAATTATACGGCCTAATCAGTAGTTTGTGCGAAGCGGTCACCGTGATGTTAAGGTATGTAATTGATTAGATTTATATCGATCATGTTAAACACTTTAATACCGAGTGCTGCTTTAACGCAAAATATACAATTTAAAAATATGGTCCATGATTATTATATCGTGTAATTGTTTTTAAAAAGACATCCGTGTTAAAGTGTCAAAGTCGTTGAACATGTTCGAACATTCATTAATAAGCCTAGTCATATTTGTTTGTATGGAATGCCACCACCGAAAAACCGTCAGGTCCGAATTCCGAAAGATCGGAAGTATACGCAAAGAACAAAAAATTTAGCCCAAACAATTAAACGGATATCGTCGAATTCAGAACAAGACAGCGCGGCTAGGACATCGCAGTTACAAACTGACACCAAAGCTTCTAGAAACGATGATGATGCCCCAGCGGAAAGTCCCGAAGAAAAGGACAATAGTGACAACGGCAATGACGCAGCGTCAGATGAAAAAGAAAATCATGGTATGCATTAATAAATTACAGGCTCATTTAGTATTAAATTCGGTAGCGCGGGCAAAAATTTTATTTCATACCATGGTGTCAAATCATATTCATAATCTCACAATCACTTGGTTTTTGGGCCTTGTAACGGAAAAATGGATTCCGACGATGATTCTGATAAGCCAAATTATAATGACCTATGTCATGGTCTAAAATAGATGGCAATGTTAGATCGTTTAACGGGGACCAGATCAAGGAAAATACTGTGATTTTAGGGTTTCGATGACTGATTTTGGAAGAACTTTTTCAGTTGATTGGATTCGGAAGACCTGGTCAAATAATAAGAAAAAAGAGAGAAAGTGGCTCATTCACAGAGAAAACGCTAAATTATTTTGTTTCCCCTGTTTATTATTTGATACGAAATAAACATTTTTTTCAAAAGGTTTTCAAGATTGTAAATATTTAAATTCAAGAATAGGATACCTAACACTGCAGAACACGTATGTTATGTAACATGGAAAGAAATGGAATTGCGACTGATAAAAGGTAAAACTTTAGTCAGTTGCAATGCGATATATCTGGAGAAAAAGATAAGTGGAGATACATTCCAAAGGTTGTAATAGACATAGTACTGTTTTGTGTCAAAAACAAGCTGGGATTCAGAGGAGGAAAAAATTGGAAATCGTAACTTTTGGGTACTGTAGAACCTCTGGCCAAACACAATCCACAAATGAAAGAACGCGTGTCCTCTATTACAAAAGGAAACTTTTCGCACTTCTCAACAACTATACAAAATGAAATAATTTCTGTACTAGGATGAACAGTCAAAATTAAAATTGTAAGTAAAACATTAGTAATCTCATTTTATTGTACTCCAGATAACAGCCACCAAGAACAAATGTTGGATATTGAACGATATGACACCAATAATGGAAAATGTATTGTTGAAGAAAGTTTTTTTTATAAAAATAGATAAAAATTGCAGTGGGCTTACGGACGAAATTGTAAATACACTGGTGTTTGTGAAAATTGCAAAACCCAGAACAAATGGTCGGTATTGTTTCAATGTTGTTTGACGTGTAAAACATTGTACTCAGTGATTGAATTTGCGTAGACATGGAATACACATTGGCCTAGCAGCGTCCTCCGTTATGTCACAGGTCAGGTCAGTGTTTCGCCACACCTAGTCCATGTAGAGTCGACAACCGACGTGGAAACGTGCAAGTAAATGCCGGTTAATTCGTCGTCGCCAAGGTCACATTATCAGCATGAGTTAGTTCTTGGTTTAACGGCGACAACAAACATCCAACGAACGATGGCGGTTCTCCACACGATCCTACCAACCCTCACTTCAGCATCGGTTTTTATTCCGGATGTCGGGCTGGGATAATAGGATCAACACCCTAAATTAACCGTGAGGGTGTGCAGCACGATCATTCGGCTGCAAATGACAAAACGCGATCCAGGCGACGTGACGTCCTAGGACCCGCGCATCAAAAACCGACTCATGTCGCGGACGGCCACGGATGATCTCCCGCCCAGCCTGTCGGACATCCGCGCGTGTTCCTGCCGACTACAGGAGAGACTTACTTTTCAACGGGTCCTCCGCTGCAGCCGACCGGTATTGGACGTGTAATCCTTCCGGGGTGAAGTAGCGACATCACAATCATCACCATCCTGTACGTGAATTCACGCCCATACTAATTATTCGCCACAGGAAAGAACAACAAATAATTGTATGTGAGAGAGACCGTTTACCACGATAGATGTAGATTTATTCAGTCAAAAAAAAAAACACAGTAAAAACTGTATGTGACGCAAGGGGGAAAATATTATCTGCGCACGTTTTCATGAGTTCCAGAATCCCTTCCCGTCATTTTAACTATAAATAGTTGAAAGATGAGTAAAGTTTTAACATAAATAAAAATAAATTTTAGAAATCGAAAGAATAGCAATATTGAAAAATAGTTATTTTCGTTTCTGATTATAGAAAAATTATTTACATCGGTACACGAACTGCAAAGTATGATTTTTTCTGCATTGCTAACAAAATAGCTACTCGCCCTTACCTCTACTCTTACCGTTACAAGCAAAAGGAGAGTTCAACAAAACGTGCGCGTAGTGAAGCTTCATTTTCGTCCAGAAGCAAAACAAGCGGCCATCTCAGCATTTGCTAATGGATCGAGGAAACCGGACAAAACAGATTACGAGATCTATTAATTACATTACAGATTCGTAAATATATAGACAAGGCAGTGGTAAGATTCCACGCTCAATGAAGAGAGCTTGCAAGGGTCCAGCGGATGCATTTTTTCATTATTCAAAATATTTTCTTTTGCAATCTAAAGGTCTGAGTACTATTGATGAGTTTCCACAGAATTGTATATACAATCTCAGGCGGGAATGTAAATTTGCAAAATACAACGCAACGAGCTGCAAGCTGCAGCAACGAGCTGCGAAGGCTGACAGAATTTCATATAATTTCCAATGCGTAACAAAATGAACTAATTTAGTGTTTAATTTTGTTATATGTACCTTCCATTTGAGGTTTGACTGAATTGACAGACCTCGAAATTTCGTTACCTGAACATCACCTAATTGCATATTATTCATTTTCAATGGAGCATGCGATTGCTGATTTGAAGGGCGAAAATGCAATGAAACTTTTTCCTTCATTAACTAATAATTTGTTATTACAAAACCAATTTGAAACTTCTAAAATGTACTAATTATTGTTTCTTTTTTGCAAAGAACATTCGTGTCATCGGCAAACAGAACCGTTCTTCCGTTTTCAATAGACGACGGCATATCGTTTACGTATAACAGAAAGAGGATAGGTCCTAAGATCGAGCCTTGCGGAACCCCATATTCAATTGGTA